GATAGAGTGAAATTATTATAGACAGTGGTTTTACAGGGTCATGTTAATTTGAAAGGTAAAAATTCCCTCAAAACTATACATTGATCGGGTGCTGCAGAATGGCAATGGTGACACCAGTGAATCAAAACAAATTCAGTGACTAGAATAAAAGTTGGTGGTGGGACACAGCGACATCACCTTAGAGCAAGGAGCTGACGCCTCACAGGAAAGCTCCTTTTTACAGCTGGCAAAAGCCAGAGAGTTGGTCGTATGACCCTCAGTAAAACAAGTTCGTGTTCAGGTATCGAGTAGGTTTTCAGTTTGATTCAGCTGATTTTACACAAATTGCCCTGTGTTCTAACAGGGATTCTGTATTTTGATATAAAATACCACTTTGCCCTGATGTATTTTTTGCCTCTGGAAAATGATAAATCCTCCTGCACTGCACTTCAGAAACAGAGTCAGTGCCTTGCTTCAGTACAAAGTTTCCCTGATAGCCCAAGTCCCTGCTCACTATTTCTGGAAGTGCTGTAACTATTTTACAAGGAAGACTGATTAATTTTGCAGTATAATTTGCAAGTGACATTTACAAGGGAATATTGTGCGGGGATATCTGGGAGGGATATTGTGTTCAGACTTTTCCTGCTTGCCTGCCTACCCTCCTGGAACAAACAGCACTGCTTCATTTTCCTTCCGTATTTTGCAAAGTTAAAGTAAACACTGTGATCACACTGTTTACTTTAATTTCCTGCAGTGTGCCAGCAAAGCAGCAAATTGGCAGTCAGCAATCAAGAAGCAGCCAGTATTGAAACAGCAGAGCTGCTTAGGAAAGCATCAATGATGCCAACTCATTTTCCCCTCTGTTTTAAAAATAAAATATTGGCTTCTATGAAGTTTTACTTCCACTCCAATCTTCTCTAAAGGATCTGAAAATTTGTTTGTTTCCTTTAATTTTCTTTTGGAAGAAAGTTGGGATTCTGAGCAACACCTAATTTATATGGCCAAGTCTTTTTATATAAAGAAATGGATTTAGAGAAGTGGCAAATATATGCTGTTTGTTGGTAAAAAAATCCATGGCATTTTGGCACAAGAGGAAGTTAACTTGTCTATAAATCAGTCTTATCTGGATATATTTTTATTTTTATGCCAAGAGCTCTAGCTGTGCTACTTCAATTAGGTGTATGATAATGTGAAGCTAAAGCCTCGTGCCTTACCTTCAGAATACACATCTGCCCAAGAACAGAGTCCTAAAAGGCAAATAGTTATATTTTCAGGGGCCGTTCTCTCTCATCTTATACTACATAATGCAAGGAATATAAATACAAAAGAAGAAGTAAGAAGAATGGGAGAGTATTTTGTTCCTCAGAGGTGTAAAGCTTGACAAGGTGACTCATTTATGGCTTTCTGGAAGATACTGTACAGAAGGAATTTATTGCTATGTAACTTATAATTCTGATATATAAAAGAGGCCAGATCCTACAATCAGCTATTCTCCTTTTTTTGCACATATTCTTACTGAAGACAATGAGATTATGAAGAGGATTAGCTTTTTGTTAGACTGGCCAAAGTATGCTTTCGGAAAGTCCAAAACATGACCTAATTTAAAGTGCTTGAAATCTTGTGGGAAAGATTGTAAGAGGATAATTATTTTAAAAGCCATGACTTTGACACCAGGAAATTAAATTCATATCTATATGTCTTTATCTATACACAGCAAATCCAATAATCTTGAGCTCTCTGCAGTCACTTAGCCAGCTGGCAAAGGGAGCAAAGTAAAAACTAACAAACCCCATTCCTAAGGTATGCTGACATCAGTGATTCATGATTCATCAATAATGGTGCTAGGAAATAAATGTAACAGGGCATTATTGCCTTTTGCAGCACAGTAAACTCAAGGGAAAATGTCTAAGTGTATTGCATTGGAAAGACAGAACTAGCATAGAAATAACTTTTACAAGTATTTAAGAGGTGTTACAAGCAAGTGAAAGTAGAGAAACAAATGTAAACCCTTTAAATACAGTGAGAATGTAGCTATAAATAAAAAGGGACAGTTTTCCAGCTATACAAGCTTAAGAGGACTAACCTGCAAACTAGCATTTTTTGTTCAACTTTTTTACAAGGAGAAAGAATTTGAATTGCTTGTTCCAGAATAAACCCTCAAAACAACCAGTGTTTTGGATTAATTGTCTACCAAGATAAACACAGTGAAGTAGAAGTTGGTTCTACGCTATGCAAAGTTATTAATGGTGTTGACAGTAATTATGACTCTCACAACCTATCTAAATAACTAAAAGAGCAAATATGTAAACACAACGTACCATATATACTCTTTAGAAAATGCCTGTATTACCACATAATCGATGATCTCCCTTGAAGGTCACTGGACCGTCATTGTAAAAGCCTAAGATTATTAACTGCAGACAAATGGGTAGCTATCTCTAGAACAGCAGATACACCTGCCGCTTTTGCCACAGAGAACAGCAAGATCTAATACATCATTAAACAACTGAGGCTTTGCTTTACGTTTTTGTAGCTTTAAACTTTTTATGATAGGGTTTAGCCCATATTTCTAATCCTTTTCAGAGCCTACCCAATTAAAATTCAGGTTACTTGTTTATGCTATTAGAGGACTGCTGCACAATATTAATAATGCACCGTGTTACATACTGCCCTAGAGAAACGTCGTCTCCCTTTCAGGGACAACAGCCACATAGTTCTGATACAAGCTTTGCTGCTTAGCTGGAGGGTAAGTGACTTTGGTATTTTGGTTGAGGCATTTTACCAGAGAAAACGATGGTCCCCTGACATGAGGCTTCCTTCAAACCACTGCCACTTAACTGCAAAGCACCACAAATACATCTAGTAGCCAGTTTGCCTGGACTGACATTGGAAATTTTATTTTAAAGACTGAGTTTCCAAACGTGTAGTATAATTCTTAAAAAACAATTAATTGATTCACAAGAATTGTGAATGAAAATTTCACTGTACTGAATTTTCTTTACATGAACAATAAATGTTTTTTATGAATTTTGAATGTAGGTTTCCCTAAGAAAATACAGGAGCAAAAGAAAGTAAGAAAAAGATGCTGCATGAGAAAAAAGAACATGGAAAGTAAGACAAATCCATGCTCCCACAAATGGATTTAATAACGCCATGATGGCTATGTAACGGATGGATTGAAGAATGTCAATAATGTCAGTGAAGAACAACAGGTATCTTTACTGTAAATTTAATTGATGATTCATAATCACAACTTTCTAGAAAAGTACAGACAATGCAGTGGATACCAGATCATGGCAGATAAGTAAATGCTGGTTTGATTTGTTTCAGCTAGTATTGCTAAAAATTGACTTGGTTTTCTTCCTGCTCTGCATTATTCACAAGCGTAGGCCCTTGACTCTGCAAACATGATGTGCACTTAACTTTCAAATCAACTAGCTTATTCATGGTAGTAAAATTGAATTAGTGCAAATACAATAGTAATGCGGTGAAGGACATTTCTTCTTGTTTTCATTTGACCAGCTCGATAGACAAATAATGATTGACCTACATTTATGGCAAGGTCAGCATTAAATTCAAGAGATACGTTTAGTGACTACATGACGTGTGATGCAAAGAAGACACTGAAAGAACAGTGTTTGTTCAGCCTTAATAAGAGAAGGCAAAGGGGAAATCATATTGCTGTCTACAAATACCTAATGGAGGGTCATGGGGGTTTATAGAGGAGATGAAGCTAAACTATTATTAGAAATGTACAGCAGTAAGTGCACGAGAGGCAAAAGTTACAAGTTATATCAAGAGAAACTGCAACGAGACAGCAGAAAAAAGTTTTCAAAATTATGGTAGTCAATCACTGGAACAGGGGCCCAGGGAGGTATGCAGTCTTCATCCTTGGAGACACTAAAAACTTGGCTGGACAAGGCTCTGATCCACCTTTGCTAAGTTGGGCCTGCTCTGAGTGGGGAGCTGGACCAGATGACCTCCAGAAGTCTCTTCCAAACTAAATTATTCTATGGTTTCATGATTCCTTATTATTTATTATTTTCACCAGCTATATTTCCTCTATAAGCATTCCCATCTTACAAAATGGTAGGCAGCTTTCTTAGGAAAAAGGTCTTTGCATTCCAAATTTTCCTAAAACAAGCACACTTCCAAGTATACCATGACAAATGAGCCATAAAAATCCAAACTAAAGGCGGGCTACTTAGCTCATACCAAACTAAAGTGCCTCTGTTACTGCTAAATTTCCCAAGATGCATGAAACACAAAAACTGACCAAATGGATGGTTAATATTCATAACTACTTCTCAGGACACTGAAAAGTGACAACTTTCATGTGAATTTCAGCCTGCCTGCAGCTGGGTATAGCTACATCTAATAGTGGAAATAAGTACCTGAGCTATTTATACTGGAGGACAACTCAAAAATGAAGGCAGGGAAAATATCCTTTTCTTTGGATGGAAGATAAAGGCATCCAGAGGCAAACTCCTCTGTAGGATTTCTGGCATATTTCCCTTGCAAGCAGCTGCAGTGGAAAAATTAACACTGGCTTCACATTCAGGCACGTCTCTGTGACACACACATCTCCTCAGTCTTCTAGAGTAGCCCAGGAGCTGTATTATTTGATCACGATCAGCCGCTGGGAAAAGCGGTCTCTCGCGATGTGTGTGTGGATGAGATGTGAGGGCTGTAAAGTAGCAGTCATGCCAACCCCAAGCTTCAGAAGTCCTGAGTCACAAGGGAAATTGCTGAAGCTAAATTGGAGAAGATACATCAGCGTCTCTCATGGAAAAGGAAAGGACTAAAAGTCAAGCTGGAAAACAGGTCATACCCAGCTGAGATGCATGGTACGCTATATTAAAGTACTAGGTTTGGGGTAAGTTGTAGAATTTCTCAGAAACAGCTAAATTTTCTGGCTTTGTTCTGACATAAAGTTTAATCCTTGAGCTAATGGGCTCTTGAGTAAGTTTTTCAAGCAAGCATGCACATAACAGAAATGCATATAGGTAAAATCTTCTTACCGTTACAGAACGTTATGCCATTTCCTGTATATCCTTGGGAGCAATAGCAGCCTGTGGTCCCACCCTGAACTTCACACCTTGCATCTTTGTGGCATGTCACATTGCAGCTTGCAGACGAACAGCCATAGTCCAGCAGACTGGAAATCAGAACTAGAACAAAGGAAAATCAGACTAGTTTCTTATCTAAAAACTTTATTCCCACCTCAAAAATCATATCTGGGCAAAAGACATCCATAAAATTGGTGTATTCTAGTAAACTTAACATCACCACAGACTCGGCTGTCTCACAGGATGGGGCGAGGGCCACTAACTACAGGGACTTCTTTAGTAAAGCTACCCAGAGGCTAGAAACAGCAGACACTGTAGATTATGAACTGGTATAGGTGCTCAACCAGTATAAAATTGGTAAACAATGTAGAAGTTACTCAGTGATCTGGGAAAAATATTTGAAAGGCTTTCAAAGTTCTCCAGTACTTTCCAGTAAGGCAATGATATTACATTCTGAATTATGTATTGAATTATGTTTATTTTTATAAGCACTTCCATACTTGTGTAGATAACACATATGCATGGTCTGAGAGATTAGGTTGGCATGTCACTGTATTTACTGCATTATGGCACTAGAGTTTAAAAGCTTCTCCAAATTATTTAAAGTTAATGTCATAAATACCATTTCCATGTTAGGAAAGCACTGTCTTCTTTTTTCCATCCACTGAATGATTCCTGTATGGTATAACTACTTTCCATTGTATGACTACATATGGTTTTCAGCGCAAAGAAGAAAGGAATCTCTCCCTTTGAGGAAACTAACAGCTCACTGAGTAATTATACAGACCCTGTAACAGGTTAGAAATGAGGCAGTTAACTCAGAGGGAAGGTAAGTTTTTTACTTTGTACTTTATAAATTGTTAGCAGGATACAACGAAAGTTGCAGAACACAAAGCCCCTTTTGGATGCTATCTTCGCCTGCCGTTTTGCTTTTCCTTACCTAAATATTATTTTGGATATTTGCTAGCCTAGCGTTACAATCATAGGTTTCATTGCTTCAGGAAATCTCACTGAGGCATTGTTTTCTTTGACAAACTAAAATTTCATGAAAAAATCAAAAGACTAAAAATTACACACATTTTTTAACAATATAATCCAAATCAATTTAGGTATCACCAAGTTTCATCTTCTCCCTCTGTTTTTGAGAGAGGAGACCATCTTCCAGAGATTAAAACAGAAACCTGTGGGATTCTGTTGTCATTTTACTGTTCATAGCATGTGAAATCTAAAAACCTCTCAAGCAGATGGAGAGAGGGAGAAAAAGCCCCCACCTAATCCACAGAAACCCACAATGTTTCTGTTTTTTACAGAACAAAACCCACAGTGAGATAAAGACTGGCGTTTGTGGGATTTGGTTTTGAGATGATCCTAACCATGCAATTACCAAATCCGGTAGCAGCATTGATCAAAGCTATGGGGACAGTCAGTCCCATGTACCCAGCAGCTTTCCACCATCTCCAACACACTCATTTCTCCTCGCCAGACCCCACTCCCTTCCCACCTGCCACTCGGTCCCCGGGGGAGCAGATTTCACCTACCTAGGAATGGAAGCAGTTTCATTGGTGATGCTGTTGCTGTTGGGCGCCTGGTGCAGAGCCCCTCTGTCACAGAAAAAACCTCCCTGCCTTAAAATGTATGACCATGTGCAAAATGCGCACACATGCCTATCAGGAAAGCGACGTCCTGGTGCAGGCACAGCCCTGATGCTGCCCTTTGTCCCAAGCTTCACGTTTCCAAAAGCTCCTGAGACTCACAGGCAGGACAGGAAAGGTCAGGAGGGGCTGACCTGGTCACCTGGTCTTCTGGCAAGTAGGGAGTAAATGAGAAGGAAATAAATGAGAAACTAAAAGAGAAGCGGGAGGCTGGGTCTTGCAGGGGATACCAGAGAAGATCCAGGGGTGAGTGGGTTAGACGAACACGGGTTAAAGGAGCTGCCGGGGAGAGTGCCTGGGGCAGGGGAAGGATGGAGATCCAAGTGGCGAGCCGCAGCCTGCTGGCAGGAGTAAAGGAGCAGCAGAAGGATGGTGAAGCAGATGAAGGAGGGTGAGGAAGAGGTGGAGGAGATTAGTAACTAGCTCAGGGTTTACAAGCTCGGAGGTAACGGTCTACATGCTTCCTTCCACCTTTTCCTGGTGAGCTGAGTATACGTGAGTCCCAAGACACATTCTTTTGGAGACAATCTTGGCTGACTGCAGTCGTTCTTCCTACTGCTTTCTTAGGTTTTGAAATAGATCCTTACTGCAGCCAAGCAATGTTGCTTTAAGGGTAACGGCCTGTGAGGAGGTACAGGAAATCCACTGAACTCTGCTTTGTGAGGAAAACAAAGACATATAGGCAGGGAGGAAAGAGGCAGGAAGGCAATTGTATGGCCAGAAATCTCAGGAGATGAAGAAGCCGAAGGAGCCGAAGTTTCTGTGGGTTTGTGGGACTGAAACAGGGTGTTGTGTAATAGGACATATTCAATATAGCCAATTTGGTAAAGAGTTTCGCTTGTCTTCGTGTTAAACATGCGAGCAGTTCTATCGTCATCATAGCATCCTAATCAAAGAGACTTCAGCATGTACTTATATTATGCATGAATATGGCAATATTTTCTCTAATCTCGTTATGGATGATGTGCATACCGTCATTTCCCAGCTTCCTGGAGATGATGACTCACTTATTGAAGCATTGTAAAACTGAAGCATTGATGTATGCCTGTCTTTATAGATGGAAACAGAGGGACATGCACAAACAGCCATGCTGCTGGAAGAACGGAGAGTATCTCTAAACTAAATAAAACAGGTATGAGGCTGTGGAACATAATTTTGACAAAATATCTCATGTCTGAAGTTTTGAAGTTGGGACTTTGGTAGGGAACTCATGGGAAGGCATCAGCCCACTCTTAGGAATTACCTGTGAATGCAGATGTGGCAAAATTTTTTCTAAACTTGTTAGGAACTATTTGCTCACCAGCATTTTCCAGCTTCATGATTGCTGCTGGCTGGAGCTCAGTGGGTTAAACTCTACTCAGGCCAGGGAGGTGTGAAGCATGTAGAAATAGCACGTAGGTGTCTGGTTGGCACAAAGTACTTCTGCAGCACCTTGGCAAACAGAGAGGAAGCTCCAGTAACCGGATGTTAATTTTCGATGAACCGCAGAATAATGAACAAAGGGTCCAGGTGTAGGAAGACTGTTTTTCTCCTGTTTGATTTCATGAGGGGGAGGAGGACTTAAAGGGGAAGAGAGGAAGGGACTAGGACTTAGTTTGTTTTGTTAAGTTTTCCCGTAATCTAATGCACAGAGATGCAGAGGAACAGAGAGTCAGATGAACTGAGGGGAGCTTTGATCTGCATGTCCTGTCCTTTGTGCTGACATGCGCTGTATTGTATGTGAGCTTGGCTTCTCTGTGCTAACTTACAGATCCTGCTGCTGAATTTCAGCTGACTATTAAGGGCTTGGTTTGGAGAGCCTATAGGGCAGAAATTATATCTTATTGCCCTGAGTCTTTTTACTCCCCAAAATCAAGAGATGTTTAATAGTAAGTGAGTGGAGAGAGCAAGAAGTCAGAATGTGAAATTCTGGTCTTAAGAGCTGGAAACGTCAGAGATGTACGTTTCAATTTCTTCTAGACGTCAGCTTTCTGCAAGGGGTGTTTGGACAGACTGGTTGGAAAACAATTTAATGAATCATAGTGCTAGTAAATTTATAGTAAAAGCTTTAATTCCTTTTCTGATTCAAGGCCTAAGGACACAGGAGAAATTATGGGTGACTCAGAAAAATCTCACTATAACAAGACAAATGCCTCCTTTCCTTTTTGCTAGAAAAGCATAGGATGGCTTGCTTTTTAGTAGTTAATGGTTTAAACCTATCAAGGGGACTATGCCAGTCAGATCAGGATACTTTCCATCTGGAATTGTATAGCTGAACTACTCCACTCACAAGTATAGTGGACAACATCAAAGGCGGTGCATAGGTCTAACTGGCAAATGGTTTGCATTGTGACCCGCAGTGGGTGAGGAGGGAGCACATAAAGAAGAAAGATGTGGAAGAACAGAGCAAGGACAGAAGAAGGAAGGTTAGGTCAAGAGGAACTCTGGGTGATAAAAGGAGCTTCGATCAGATTTAGAAGGCAATAGGGAGACAGTGAAGAAGAGGGATTTAGGAATATCTTAATGAGATCTCAATACTGGGAGCAGTGGATTACTTTTGCATTAGACTACTTTAAAAACTGGCTAATGTGAGTGTCAGTTAGAGGCTGAAGACAGCAAGGTCGCAATAGGCATGGATGTGAAGAAGGATGGACTTGACAAAGATTTTATGGGGAGAATGAAGAGGAAAGGGGAGATTTCTGAGACATTTTGGAGATTAAACCAGGAGGATTTACTGATAATATCTATTGGCATATAGGGATAAGGAGTTAAACAAGTGGAGATGAGCAGGTGAACACATGAGAAAGCAGACACTTTCAAATTTGTGCTGTCAAAATTTTCAAAATATGCTGAGAAAAAAAAGTTGAGGTGTCATAAAACTAAAGTATTGATGGGTGCCTGTATAAGGCAAGGAGGAGGGACATGCACAAACATGCATATTCCTGGAGCACTGGAGAATATGCTTAAACTGAAAAAAAAGAGTACAAGAATGTGGAATGTCAGTACTGCAGAATCCATCCCTGCTTGTCTCGAAATAAAGAAGCATTAAAAATAAATGGTTTGTGGAAACACTCCAAAAGACAGCCTTTCCATTCTTACACATGGGAAGCAAAGCCCCAGTTCTGTACTTAAATGTATTGTTCATTTTATAAATGGGCTCATTTATCTTTGCAAGACTGAGTTAGGAGGGCATAAGTAAATGAATATACACAGGTTAACATGCTTGACTTCAAACCACACATTTTTGATTACTGATCACCGTGATTACAATGTCTTATGTGTGACTGTAGAATTCTCAAGTTGTGGTTTTTTTTTTTTGCTGGTGAACTGATAGGAAGACATCAGCTTGCTCTTAGAAATTACTGGATATTTTCCAAGCTTTGCATCATGAAGAAATGTATTTATTCACAGTGGTTTTAAAGGTAATTGGGATGCTGATTGTGCAGACAATGCTATGAAACTAACACCCTCAGCTGATGAGGGAGGGAAGTTAACACTTCCCAGAGCTCGGTCTTAGGTAGCTTTCAAAAGATAAATATACAGCAACTGCTTTCATTCCAGAAACTGCCTATAATACTGACAAAGGAGCAAAAACTGAACAGAGCTAGTATTAGGTGTTTTTCCTTTAAATGAACATAAGCATGATCTGCTCTATTCAAGATATGTATTCCTTTAGTTTGATCAAATTTGGACTGCAAGCTGGATATATACCAAAGAGTCTCACCACATTTGCGGTTTTAGATTACAGTGAGGAAAAACACGTGTAGTGTATCAGGATATATATTTCTTTCTCAAATTACAAGTTAAGTATGCTAGGAGACACTTAGCAAGAGCCAAAAGTTGTCATCTGATGGGCATCTTACAAATGTATCTGCCATAGGTTGTGAACCCCACTTTCAGACCACTATGGATCATCCTGAGAGGGAATGGTGAGAGTGTGTATCAGACTGACAGATCCTGAACGCTCCAGGTAGGGTTCATACATCTTTAGGCTACTTGCTGTTGAGTTCCACGTATATTCAGTACCCTCAGACTCTGATATCTAACCTATCAACAATGTACTCCAATATAATCCACGCTAATTGTGCAGAATAGTCACATGCATGTGCATACACTCACACATTTATCTCTATCACATAAGCATATATATGTATATATTACTGAATTGAGCTGATAAATATTTAATGCCGATAATAAAAAGATGATCATGATCCTTCCTTCCAGCCTTTGCTTTTTTTGACAAATGAGTGTTCACTTGAATCACCAAGTTTGCTGCCAAAAGCAAAATGGGATGTAAAACAGACTGAGGATGCACAAATGCCTCGGATAAAGATTTTTCTCTGACGCTCGCTTTTTTTTTTTTTTATAAATATCAAATTAATTTATTGGTTTCAAACCAAATCCTATCACTTCAAGAATTTAGATGGTCTTTATAATATTTCAGAAACATTTCATTTATCCTAGTCACTAGAGCAATTATAGTGGTTTTTTTCCTAGTCAATAAAATCTGGGTACAATTGAAAATGTACTTAAATGTCAGATCAAAATAATGAATTTCCATGGTTGGTTAAAATTATTTTCAAATAAAAAATCCAGGGAAAACATTTTTGGAACACAGACTAGTCTGTCATAGAGCAGCCTACCTCAGAGGACTCTAGCCCAAAAGTAGTGTTAGCATCTGTTTTATAACTGCCTCACCTCACCTTCCTGAGTGCCTCACGAATCCTTATCATTTTATGTGCAAACATCATATTCCATCTGAGCATACAGGGCTGAATATATCTCTTGGGATGGTGTAACTCTAGGCAATTCTGAAGCAATAAACACACAAACACACATAAACATATGCATGCACACATCCTACTAAATCTGCGTAGCTATGTCCATCTGAAAGACATTGCACATTTCAGTGTTCAGAACTAGTTTCTG